AACATTTATTTTAGTTTAATCATATTTATATATTATTATATTTAAATCAAATTTATTACTATTTTTTATTTGATTTAAATCAAAGTTATTATTATTTCTTGAATTAGATTTATAACTATTTACTCCTTTTGTTTATAAATACAACTTATTAGATATAATAAATGCAATAACTTATAAAAGTATTTTTCAGTATTTTATTCTATGTTGCTATTCAAAATATTGGTGTTCATAAGTTTGATAGACTTTTTATTGCACTCTATTATCAGATGACTTATATCTTGGAAGAGAAACATATATTATTTTGTTTTCCCTTATACAATGGAGACGTTTGGTATCTAAGGACAATGTGTCTCAACTAATTAGTTTGATAATTTATTCATTTATAATTTTATCTTATATTATTGTTGTTTATTTCACTGATGAACTTATTTTTATTCATATATCTGTTTTATTATTATTATTTATTATTATTATTATTACTTAGTTTAATCATTTTTTTTTCATTTAAAATTTTATCTTATTGTTATTGTTTATTTGACTAATCAACTTATTTTTATTCATATACCTGTTTTATTATTGTTATTATTAATACTTATTTTTATTTTTCTAACTAAATACACCCAATATTTTATAATATATATCAACTCATGTTCACATCTTAAAGAACTTTCACGCATTGGCACTTTATAAACATACAATGAATTACACATTAATAATCACTTTTCAAGAATACATAAATTTTTAATTATATCTCAATGACATGATAATTTGTCAGATATAATTTCTTTCAAAATAATCATATTAAACATGTTTTACCAGATATTGAAACTTGACTCATCATAAACATCATAGAAATTCATCATCATTTTTATGTCATAGTGGTTCATTGATTATACTTTATAAGAGTAAGATGTGGAAATTTCCTTCAACTTTTCACTACCTATTATTTTAATAAATAACCAATGAAGTTATTGTAATTTTTTTTAATAATGGTTTCTTATACTTAATTCTATACCTCCATTGGGGTCACAATATCATCTTAATTGTCCACACATGTCTATAATATGCCACAATACCATATTATTAAGTATTTATACAGAATCACAATAGGGAGCCATATCATACCATATTCATATACAATATTATATATAATACAATTACATATATAACACACATCTCAACAATATTATATATTATATCCAAAATACTAAATAACCAACCAACCATATTACCACAGGGTGAATGCTGGAGTTAAGTGTGAGTTGCACGTTGATAAACAAGAACAAAAATATTTAACGAGAAAAAACCTACAAACTTATTATTTTAAGATTTTGAATTTAAGGTAATGTCATAATTTCTTACGTAAATTTACTCATGATTTATATGTTATAAATTTCTCTTGTGTTTTTTTTCAAAAACTTATAAAGTAAAATCAAAGTTGCTAGTTTTTGTATTATATCAATGTGGAAGAAATTTGTAATTAAGAGACACTACATTGAATATTACTTTGGTTTGAGAGACAAAATTATTTAAATTTGTTTTAATTAAGTTCATAAAAAATTATAATTTGATCAATAATATTGTAATATATAGATATAATTAAATTTAGAATCAGTTTATGACAACCCATGACAAATTGTGATGATTAAAAAATGTAATAACCAAATTAAAAGAATTTACATGATTAAAAAAATATGACAACATTCTTTTAATTTGAGTATCTAATTAAAAACAATTAAGTAATTGATAAGCCTATGATTTTACTAATTTAAGCTTAAAATAAAATGAATGGTATTATTATTGTGTGAAGGTTATTAAAGTCCAGGAGCAATGAGAGAGTGTACTATTTTGAATTTTCTTTTATTAGCAAAAATTATCACTTTTGGATGTAGGTGAAGATCTTCCATTAATTTTAGGCTTCTGCTTAACCTTCCAACAACAACAACATGCATTCATCAAAACCAAGCAGGTTGAATAGTAGAAAGAACCAACTAGAATCAAATATGTTGGCAAGAGATGTGAAGATTAACATTGAAACGAGGTATATTTGTTTGTTTAATTTTCAATCTGTTATTGAAACAAACATTGAAACAAAAACTGAAAACTTGGTCGGGGGCCCTTAGGCAAAATTATTGTAGTGCCACAAGGACTTGTCTAGGACTCTATCCACGTATCATTTGTTCACTCTTACACTCTCCAATTTTTTCTGAAACCAACCACCATGCCAAATTATCCTTATATAACAACCATTCTCACCCACCCACCCTACTTCACAAATAATAATAACAAAACAACAACACGCAAAGTTCTTAAAGACATGAATTTGAAACCTAACTCAATTCTACAAATCGGTTTACAAGATAAAATTTACATTTATTTATATATTTTAAATTAACTCTTTATTTGATACCATATTAAAAAATAAGTTTTAAGTCTAACTTAACCCTACAAAATAGACTTATAAAGTAAGATTTACACTCCCTGATATACTCTAAATTGATTTAATCTCTAGTCAATATGCGACTTCAACACCAATAAATAATTGTCTAAAGACTATATAAGTCAAAAGAACATCAATATCAAGTATATGTCAAAAATTTCACACAAATTATTAAAAAGATAAATTTTATTTTTGTTTTGATTACGGGTTGAGGTTATCTGTTTACTAAGTCTTGAATATTTTGATATTCTTCTTCACACTGTTCGATCAAACTGAGAGGTTGTCTGTAAAAAGGACTTTGATGCCATAGTCAGTAAAGATTCGGCGAATTCAACCGTTAATGCGTAATAAATTCAATCCCCTACTTCTTTACTTCAAACTTGTATTTATATATTTCGATATAAGCTTTGTGTTACTAATGGTCTAATCGTGATCTAATAGGTGTTAATCATGTTTTATCGTAAACTAATTTTTATCAAATCTAAATGTTATTAAAGTGTGATCGCTTGATCTGCATGATTCAACCGCTCGATCACTAGATGATCTTGTTGACGTTTCTAATTGGATGGACCATTCGATCTTGGATTGACTGCACGGTAATACAGTAAAATTTCATTATATAAAACATTTGTGAATGTTGTGGATGTTTCAATCAAGGAAGCAAATGTTGGTAATCTAAGTGTGAGTCTAAGTCTCACATTGAATAGAAATGAGAAAGTAGAGCATTATATAAAGGTGAAAGACCCATTAATCTACTACCTTAAGGTTTTGGGTAAACAGTGGTGTCAATTCTTTATATAGTTGAACTCATATCGTTTTGGTATTGTGTCTCTCAGTGATTCTGGGTTCTAGGTAAGTGTGTATAGCTCTCTAACTTTTGAAAGTGTTTGGTATATGTTAAGCATACGCCAAACTTTACGTAGTGAGAATGTGACAAAGATTGGATTTTATGTTAAAGTTGTTATCAGTTCAATAAACTATATAAATAAAACTGGTACTCGTGGGGAAGGGTACGAGGATTGTTTGTTTTTTTTTTTTAAATCATATATGTTTTATTTATTTCCCCCAAAATTAGTGATATTTTAAACATCCTAAGCATTATTAACTATTTTTTTCCACTTATATTTAACTATTGCCGCAATACTAATTTATTACGTACTTGAAGATAAAATAAAGTATAACTACAGCAAATTTTACACACGAAATATTACTATAACTGTGTCATACCCTTTTTGATATAAAACGACATTAAAAAAAAGACATTTGAATTCATGAATTCATGAATTCAGAAAATCGGCAGAAATTAACATAATTATTAATTTTAATTTTTTTATCCAACTTAATAGACGTAATAAAGAGTAAGGTCAAACAAAATCTATTATAGTATTATACATGATGAGAGGTATTATTAAGTTATTATTAATTACTATATATATAATATATATGATGAGATATTATTAAGTTATTATTAATTACTATATTATTATATAGTTGGAGTAAATATTATTCTAACTATGACATAGGTTCAGGTTCTATGTGGATCCTATATACAACTGTTATTTTTTCAAGAAATACTTATTTAATATTCACTCAATATCTCATGCTCATTGTCACATATTTTAAACTCTTTCATTGACTAGAACAAGTCTTGTACAGGTAAATCTTCCTTTTATGAAGAGTAAGGAATTTCGTTTTGATAAGCAAGAGTTTTCAAACCACCACCAAGATTTTGTCACTAGTCCAAAAATTCATGTTCAAGATTTCCATAACATCAAATTTACTATAAATACTAAATAATTATTTTGTCATTTCTAATTTCTATTTTAATAAAAAAATTCCTTAATTTTGTAATTTTTAATAAATTTAACTAATAGTAGAAAATGTGATAAAAGCTGATATACCACGAAGTATATAGGCATGTTAAAATTAACTCAGTAAAAATTTGGTGTCTCATACGCTTAAACTAAATCACTCTACAAGTTTCAATAGAGAACTCTTCAATAAATACTAAAATTTCAGGTTTTTCAGATGTCCTCCTTCCGTGCATTTATATTCTTCACTGCACATTTTTAAGAGGAAGAAGAAGAAAGAGTCCATTCTGAAGAAAGAAAAAAAAACAAACAAACAAACTTGTTTTGAAAATTCTGTTCTAAAAATTATGTTTTGGAAATTTGGTTTCAAAAACACATTACATTGGTTTCAGAATTTTTTTTTTCGGAAAAACTTATTTTAAAAAGCTCATTTCAGGAAGTATCATGAAGTGAAAAAATTATTACAGAATATATTTCATGTATTACAAAAAATCTGTTCTTGAAATTCTATTCCCAAAACTCTGTTTTTGAAATCCTATTCCAAAAATCATGTTATAAAAATTCTAAAAAGTTTGTTCTAGAAGATTTTCAAATCAACTTTAGGAAAAGTAAAATGATCATTTTAAAAATTATTTGGACACTCAATATTTTTTTCTACTTAATCACTGCTTAAGTAATTTTACACAAGCAATATATTGTGAGATGTTAAAGATATTTAGTTCGAAAACAGCATCGTTTGGAAGCATATATAGTTGAATCATTGAATGTGTTTATAATTGAATCGATTTTTGGAGTTCATGTGTAAGACAAAAGTTTCACATGTCATCAAAATGAAAGTTAAGTAAAATATAAAAATGATAAAGACTTACCAACCTTAAAATTTTAGGTTGAAAATAATATTAAATCTCCCCTAACCTGAATGCCCAAAGTCAATAAGCACCGACCAATTGCAAATGTAGCACTGATTAGCTATTTAATCGAATAAATAACCACTCTTCATTTAAAGTCTAAACTGCATCATATTTGATCACGCAATCATATAAACGTGACCCAAGAAATTCTGCAACCTCCGTGTGTTTGACCTATAAAATAATGATAACAAGAAAAAGAAACAGATGCATCAGAATCAAATTTTCGTTTGTTAAGAAGGAAGTAAAAAGAATGATAAAATGCATCACCATAGCAATCTTGAGGGAATCACATTTAAACTGAGCATAGAGATTTGTTTCTATTCCACGACCCTGTCAAGAGAATCAAAATTGGAGCAAGAATTGAAGAAACTAAGAACCCAAAACTAGGGCTTAAAACTTGCTTAACATAACTGTAGGAGCGTGCAACTGTAAGTTAGCAAAACAGAAAGTATATATAATGAAGGAAGAGCCTACCATCCCTTCTAAGATAACAAGATCTACATCGTTGGTGAGGTATGCTAGTTCCTGTGACACCCTTGTAAGGTCAATAATCTGGAATCCGTTGAACAAAACAGAAAAGAGACATTTAATGTAATTAGTAATCAGCAAACCAACAGTACAGGATCAGGACAGTAAAAGAAAACGACAACAGTGAGTAAAAGAAAACGACAACAGTACAGTAAAAGAAAACAACAATAATTGTTTTCGACTATTCATAACGGTTAATGAACTGAGATATATCTAGCCAAGGCAAAATGTAGCTTTTTTGCCTCAGTTTCAAAACAGGGGGAGTCTATTGTCTCGGTTAAAAGCAACCTAGGGAGTAAAGAGGGTCTACAAAGGTCAATAACAATATAGAAACTAGAACTTTCCTAATATAACAAATTTTCTTACAGGTAGTTCATTCCCAGAATTGGCAATTAAAAGATTTGAAGTAGAGACACCCATGAGACACCCTTCTTCATCCTTTAACTGGAAATCAAGATGATGTAGTCAGGAAAGAGTTTTGTCATAACATAAACCGCCAGAGTTAATTGTTTTTTTCCTTACCCTTGATATAATTTCAGTTAGCTCAGAGTAAGTCACATCATTGAGGGAAGGTAACTCATTAGCAGCCAATATAACCTGCATGCAAATCACATAAAATATATTGAAGCAGGCAACCGTATGAGCTGCATGAAAAGCAATTTCAAATTCAAGCAGAACTTAAAAATGAACAAGTGCTGTTACACAAAGCTGTTAAAAACGAATCACGTCATGACCAAAAATAGTTAGGAGAATCTAGTTAAAGTATTGATGATAACTAACATAAATTTAGTTCCTTTAACTTCCTTATGATGCACAATAAATTTCAAGTATTTCAATACTTTGATACACGGTGTTCAATGATAAAAGGGCTACCACTATCCTTCCCTTTTCCTCCCCCATTTCAAAACAAAAAAATAAAATAAACCGTGAGAAAAGAGAGTGAACTAAAACTGGCAAAACTAGTTATGGTATAAGTCTTAAACTGCCTGACCAAAAAACAGACATGAAAGAGAATAAAAATGCCGGAAAACCTGACTCCCACGACGAAGGAGCTCCCTGGCAAATGGCAGAATACCCAAAATGATATCAGCACCTGAATTATCAACAAATATGATCACCTGCCGATGTAAAACAATTAATTAGATCATTAACCCCGCTTAAAATACAGAAGAAGGCATAAAATATATCATAAAACTGTCCGTTTCTAAAGCCACATGACACTTGCCTTCTTCCAGGACTTCTTGCTCCAGTTCACTTTGAAAGTCTCAAGGTCATCAATAATCCAAGGTCGAGGGACAAGATTTTGACATGTAGACAAAAAAGACACTCCATCCTTGGAGAAAGCCTCCGCAAGCTTCAAGAAATTGAAGGAATTAAAAGGTAATAAAAAATATATTTAACCTTTGTAATAAATAACAAAATCTGTCTCTTTCAATTAGGCTAAATTTTTTGAATAAAGTTAATTTTGAGCCATTTCTGATTTCCCACTCATATAGTCAACCTATTGTTGTGTACAACGTTGATAGATAATAGAATGGGTAAATAATGTCATATTTCATCCTAAAACCAATTAGAATTATGCAAAGTTGTCTATACAGGTAATTATTACCTAGAAATACTACTAACAACTAGCCAAGTACTATCAAATGTCAATTGACTGTATCCACGCCATGTGACCTACAATATTGAAAATTAACTAAACCATACCAAACAATGGGAGAGTGGAGCAATACAGGGTTGGTACAATGACAAAACAATAAGCAACTAAAACCATGAACATATAGGTCAGTCCAATTTGTTCCAAGACTATTGGTTTTAGTTATTGACAAGTTATGAGTGAAGCTGAGTCACATTCCAAGTCAGAGGCTGCGGGAGATAATTCAGTTGTGGGATGTAAGATAAGAGTTGCTAACTCATATCAGCTTGGTACAGCTTAAAGCATCAGAATGAAGGTTTCTAACAAAAGTATTTAAGGCACTGACAAACGGGGAAAAGAACCGAGGAAGATAATGCCAAGAAGTGAGAACTACCCCCCTTTCCCTCCTTCTCTCTAGACTTCTTCTTCACCTCTAAACTTCATTCAGCATAAGTCATTTCTTCATAATTCTGTTACTGATATGCAAGTTACTTTTCCTTGAGTACTGATAATTGTGATAATAATTTGCTTTATCATATGAATTGAACATCTTTATTTGTATTTATGCTATAACTTTGTTCATTTGATACTGAAATCCATGGTTTAAATACCTTTTGGGAATAGAAGTGATTACTACTTATTTACCATCATTTTTTTGTAGAGAAATGGAAGTTTCAAGCCAAGGAAGGAGGAAGTCAATTCGGACCTTCTTGCCTAGCTCCTAATGAGATGAACGTTGAACTCACTGGACCAGCAGTGCATTCCTAAGGGAGATACGAAAGTTTGCACTCTTTAAAAAGCTGCTTCTTGCCCAGTGAGAGTCCACATTTTGGAAGTGAATTAAAAAGTGAAAACTTAACGTGCTCCAAATGTCTAGGAGTAGTTAACTCCCCATTTCATTGGGTTAGATGTAACGAATCACTTTTATGTGTGGTTTTTCTATTGCAATATAAATCTCTTTACACCACTCTTGTGTTTTTCTTTATGCTTTATGCTGCATTGTTTGATTATCTATGCCTTGAGTTGTTTCTAAACATTGGAAAATGTTTTAGAACTTAGTCCTCAAGATCGAACAACTTAGGGATATTGATTCTAAACATAATTTTATCTCTTGTTCATTCTATACACTTATCCTTCATGCAAAACTTGTACATAAAGAACTAAGGAATTAGTATTTTTGCATTAAGGTTTAGAACTCATCTCTAAATAATTAAGGCTAGAAAGTTTGGTGTGTGAATGTTGGAGTTATGCTAGAGATATGTTGGTTAGAAAACATGCATTGAGTTGAGTTCATGAAATTCATTCCAAGTGAATATTTATCTTTTTTTTAAGTAATATAATCTAAGGTTTGGTGTTTTTGAATGTTTCTAATTTTGCATTATCTCCACCTTTAAATTCGAATAAACCAATTTCTTTAAGTCTTTAGTTCAAATTACTAAAACTTGACACTCACTAAACACACGCACATCTTTTAGAACACAATATTTGGACTTTCCAATTTTACTACTTGTATGATTTAGTATACTTTTTAAGGAGTTGACAAGTACTATATCAACTATTATGTCAACTCCGTATTAACTGAACCTTTTCAATGTGTTTGGGATTTATTATACTGAGAATCATTATTCCTGAAGTGAAAAAAATTACATACAGAAAATCAGCATACCTGTGTTGCACCAAGATCAAATATATTCCCTGCAAAAATTCCTCTAACTAAATTTTCTAGGCGTTTCTCTTCATCTTCAATGGCATCATTAAGACGAACAACATTTTCAAATAGGGACATGGCATTTGTATTCTCTACATCCTGTACCATTCAATCAGAGAGAAATTACAAATCCCGAGCATAATAAAACAACATTGTTCATTGAGAGTCACAACTCACAAGACCATTCCCCCTCAATTGAAAACTAATGATGTTAAGTTTCTTCAAATAGTTTAACATAAACTTGGCCTCCACTATGAGAAGAATGCCATTAAATTTCACTAGATTAAGTGAGATGTTACAGTATTTCAACCCCATCTAATCAGATATACTCATGCTTGTTTTCAACATTCTAGCAGAATAGTATTAGCCTTTAGCACACAGAATCCCATTAGTTAACCCTACCTTTATTTTCTTGAAGATATCTGAGAATCCGAGTTCCCTGAGGACTTGCTCACGAAGTCTGCATAGAAGCTAGAACACCCATTCCCGCAAAAAAGAAAAATTAAAGGAAAAAGAAGACTGAAGAAATTAGATATATGCACCAAAACAGCCGCATTTTATTTTATTATTTGATAAACACAGAAGAGGTATGGTTTGTTGTTCAAACAAAATTTCTATACAGATAAAGAACGTACAAAGATATCCAGAGGCTCGCCTTGACCTGCAGGATCTTTCTTGAAATCTTCAAGTATTCTAGCATACCTTTTTTGCAGAAAATGTATCAAGAAAATTAATTGCAATCAACAACTCCCGTGTTAATTTGAATTACTTGAACTAAGAAATTACGCAAATATAACAAGAGGTGGATAAAACAGTATAAGCTTAATATCCTCAAGAAACGTTATTCATGTCAAATTTGGTTATTGAAAAAATATACATAGGTCGTTGTCATGCATCAAACCTCTCATAGGAAGTCAGTAAGAGACCCACCTTTGAGCAAAAGTTTCAGCTTTATCTGCAGCATCAGGAACAGAAGCATCACTCTCAGCATGCTTCCTGTACCAAATAAAAACTAAAACATCATGTAACCAAGAAAATTTGAAAATAGAATCCCTGCAATAATACAACAATCACACCTCACCAAACCAGGTAACGGCTACATTAATATTGCTTTCCACCAGTTGCTTCTCTGTTTACGGTAATTAATAATGAGAAGCAGCAACTACACCGTGCTAGAAAAATTAGGTTAAGAAACACTCTCAGACTTTTGGTTATTGGAATTGAAGCATGATGAATAATACTCAAGCCCAAAGATATCAAGTTGTTGGACACACCAACATCCAATTATTCCAAAGATGTGAAGTTGTTAGACAAGGGACCACAAATGACTTTCTTATGTGTCTAACAATTTAAAGAAAACCAGAACAGAATCCGTCAACCGAAACATTAATTTGTTGCAAACTTCACTGTTTCAGTTTGGAGATCCATTTTCACTATCGATGACTATGATCTCACCATTAAATGTTTACCAATCACTCTGACCCAGTACTCAGTAGATGTTTCTATTACTTCTCAACACTACATCCTAATACCTAAGGTCCGAGAAATACGATGTTTGGGATCAGTGTACCCTTCGTACCACTAAAGGGCATGCATGCAAGATATGGATTGTGAACCACAAGTAAAAGTGTTTAATTTTATGAAAATAAAAAATCTGATCCACACCCCATTTTGATCTGTGGAATTATCTCCATTTTAAAAGATAAAGAATAAAGAACGAAGAAATTTGAGCCACACCCATTAATTTGTTTTGTGGGAAAAAAGAAGATAACATACTTGAAGGTGGGGATAGTATTGTGGAGGAGATTAATCCAAGATAGCTCGGTGGCAGTGGGAATGTGTGGATCGTCGGAAGGGAACCTCCAAGGAATGGTGCTTGCTGTGTATTTGTCATTCGCCAACAACGGCAATGGCACCAACTGTGATGTACTCCCCATGGCTTCCTCTGAAGATGTCAGTCACAATTATTACGGCAAATGAGAGAGATAAACTCTGAAGACAAAGGAACTCTACCTAGTCCCACACCGATTCAAGTACAAAATCAAAAAATCACAAAATCACAGATACATATCAGACTTCACAATGTAAGTGAGCTTTTGGTAACACTTTTTCTTGTAACTACAACTTATTTTATACTCCTAATTGGTTAGTTTCGACAAATATCTAGCATTCTTAACTTTTGCTGTTTTTATTTTTTTCTCTTTTTTAATTAAAAATAAGAAATGTGCTGATTTAAAAATGAACAAAAAAAAATATAACACTATTTTGGAAGTAGGGTTACCTAATGATTTGGAGTAAACAGAAGATTTTGTGAATTGATGAATGGTCTTAGCCTTGCATGAGAGTGTAAGAGAAGAAGCATAGACATATAAGGAGATTGATGGAGAACAGAGAATTGGTGATACAATTCCCATTGAAACTGTTACCATTTTTTCTGCACAAAATAAACTATGGTGCATTATATTGTAAATATCAATAAATAAAATATTATTTCATTTTTAATTTATTTTTGCATCATTGTTTAACTTATTTTTGGTATGGTAAAAGAATCTAAAACAATTACTTGACTTTTTCTTAGCCATTAAAAACAATATCAAAAAGGTACTTGTTTATTATCCTTATTCCCACCTTAAAGACAATTTTTTGTTGGATCAACTTACAGAAGAATGGAAGGTGAGATGCAATAAATAACTAATAAAACTTTATCTAAGGAGTATGAAAAGGAAACACAAAATTAGAGATAGAAATATTTACGAAATTACTTTTTTACAGAAGAAGAATTAAAACTTTAACATTATTACTAGGATCTTACAAAATTAATCTTATTTTACCATATGTTAAACAAGATTTTTATTTGATAAAAACGAACTATAATTTAATTTTTATTTGACCACAAATCGTGCTTCAAGCAAAAATAATTCGAAAAATTTTCACAGTGAGTTCACAGTTAAGTATATAAAGTGAATATATGCAAGTGTTTTTATAAATGCTTTCTTAATCTTCGAAGATTTTCTAACTTAAGAATATACTTGAGCGAAAAGTCAAATTAAGATGAAATCAAAATTGAAGATAGTTATCTAGAAAAAGGAAATGATGACAATGACTCGGTGAGATAACGGAGGAAAACTAATTCCTAAATTCTCACAAATTATTCATCCTTAATGATAAGAAACTGTTTTCATTTCTTGCTTGAGTTAACATAACTAAATAGTTACTTTTGTTGTAATCTCTTCAATGGTGTTATGTTTGTTTTCATTTTTCATATGAAGATACTGCATGAACACCAATAACAGACAAGATATATAAGAACATCAATTGAAACATTTTCAAGCAAACAAAACAAGACAAAACAATTTTCCAACAGACCGAAAGGATTAGTTAGTTAGGTCCTTGGTCGTTTTCAGTGGGGAATGGTCCAAATTTCCAAGATCTTCAACCACCCCAGAAAAAGGAAATCAATCTAGTATTATTTTAATCCTAACTGTCCACGATTATCAAGGGGAAAGGGGCTTATTATCCAATCAGGGTAAGGATCTAGAGATAGAAAAATGAATGCTGCATAAAAGTTTGGTGGGTGATGTCTTATGTCTAAGTTGATGACAAAGAACACTGTGGTTGTGACCCTTAAAGAAAGTTGCATGTGAGGCTCTCCGCTGCTACAACAGACTTTTGATTATTAGTTTAATGTAATAAAAGTTGCACGTACAGTTGGATGAAACATCCCACGTACATTTATGCATCATCAACCCTCACACAAAAGCATATTGTACTGTGCTTTTCTGATATCATTCACCCATCAGCATTCACCTCAAATTTTGCTATTAAAAATAAGGTTTTGTCCACGTTTGCATCTATCCAAACACCGCTTTAAGTAGACCTCGAGGCCTAAACCAGCGTCTAACTCAAGCCAACAACAAGAACAACCACCCTCTCTTTCTCATCTGTGTTATCCCCTTCTTCCTTGGCCATGTTAGATTCTCTGATGGAGTACATCACTCTGGCAGCTTCCAGCTATGCTTTCATTTTCTGCTTCTGCAATTTGATCATAGTCATTATCCTAGTGGACTTGAAGCCCAAGCTCAGTTTTAATCAAAGGAGTGAAGAAATCCCTCTGTCCATGCTCACAAACACGGGCGTAGAAGGAGCCAATTCCAAGTGCTTAGTCAACAAAAGCACATCATCTCCACAAGCAATCGAAGTGGCACATGTCAAGGAGGAAGTGGTGGTGGATAGAGTTGAAATTGAAGGTAATGATAATTGCAATTGCAACAGCACTGAGGAAGATGATGAGTTGAGGAGAAGAGTGGAAGAGTTTATAGAGAGAATTAATGAAGGATGGAAAGCAGAGCATTCTAGCTCATCAAGTTTGTTATAAGGAACTTTTGTAGTGAGAGTTTTGATCTGTCAGTTTATTCATCTAGTCCTCATTCTTACAACAGTTGAAGCGAAATTAGACCTTTTATGTTTAATACTACCATTGAACTTTTCTGACTGAAAATTCCTCTTACTTCTGTTTTGGATTTACCTTTCAAGAAATGTGAAGTGGTTTTGTAAAAAGTAAATATGGTAAACACTAATACTAAGTTTGTTGTTTTATATGATAATTATGATAGATTTTATACTATCATCTAATTAGTATCAATTATTTATCATAAGAATGTATGAAAATTAAAATCTGTGTCTGAATAGAGAGAGTGAGCTCCACCAATAAAAGGATAAATAGAATTGTTTTATTAAGAAGCTTATTCTATAGCTAGTTTAGAGTGTTACATGTAGAAAGAAAGAAAAAGAATGTCATGAAAAGTATGTCACGAAGCATCATGTGTGGAAACTTCAAATTTTATCACTAGGAAATAATTCCATGACATTCATTTCCTCTTTTTTTTTTTTTTCCTTATACTTTATGCTCTAAGCCAAAAGGGGGGGAATGGTTTACCTTCTCGTCAAAGGGTCTAGTACATAATAAGTTCAAAGGTGTAGAGCATCAAGAATAGCAAGAAATGCAGCGAAACTGTTGCACCTATTACAGTGAATTTGAACGTTCTAGGAAAATTAAAGTGGTAGTAAAAGTATAAATTTAAAGACTAATCCAAAAATTAACTTGGCTGTGGATAGACAAGATTGTTCTAAGTTTCAATGAGTGCAGTTGTATTTCAGGCAGTCTTCATAGTCTGAAAATTAAGCCAGTTGTATGAAAACACAAAAAATTGAACTGACATAGTCCTATGTCTGGTCAAATTACAGATATATGACATAATAACTCATTTAAAATGTTGTCGTTTGGTTGTTCCTTGATATAATAATTGAGCAAAGAATCACAGTACCACAAAGGTAAGCCTAGGAAGTTGATATGCAATTTCTTTCACAACAAATAATAGAGTTACAGTTCAGAAACACTCATCCACTCACATTTTTAACATCCATATAGAATATAAATAAGGGGGGAAATGGCACAACATATACCCTATATCTAATTGCTACACCAATGAGTAAACAATACTAAAGATACATCTGGAGAAATGACAAGTGGAAACCTAACAAACAGATTTGCCAACTAACACCTAATACAAAAGAGTGCAACTTTTGAGTCAAAACCATCGCGTGACACCCATCTGACCATCAGAGTTGTCTTGTAAGTTAACTGTCAGCAGTCAGTCAAGCATGAGTGAGGAGCCTAAAAGAGTTGACTCTGCATGATATCAAATAATTCACAGGGAATGTTTAGCATGCAGCCTCAGCGTTTGATTGGCTTATATTAGACTCCTTGTCGGGTAAAGGATCTCTATCATCAGGAGCTGAGTTCCTAGAGTCTTGACCATTGTTAAAAGAAACAATATTCTCTTCTTGAAAAGCAGCAGGTGTCATAATAGGCTTTACTCCACCGAAACTGACTTTTAGTTCCTCACTAGAGATGATATTAACAGGAGAAGGGGTAATAGTTGATATATGCTCCACCCTTTGCTTCTTGTTTTTATGCTCCAACTGGTGACCAGGAAGAAAACTGCCAACAACAACCTGATCCAGAAGAGCGTGAGAGAAGTGACTACTGATATATCAGTATCGTAGGCATAATTTTGTTGTTCACAACATTTTTTGTTTCAATTCCTACTTTTCCATGGAAATTGACATAGCATAAAAACAATCAGGAAAATGTCTATCCAAAAAGCATTGGTAATCTAACCAATAAAACAAATTAAAACTTGCTTTATGATGATGGGAATAATTTGAACAATCAATATCTACATAGAATTAATATTATCATGTTTCCTTACAAAGGTTATAAAAATCTCAGATTAACAAGTCATAAGGTTCTTGAATATTTTATTAAATATCCCTTCTATGTAACATAAGGTCTACCTGAACTGGACCAGCGGCTACCAGCAAACCAGCAAGCCCACCCCCCATTACTCTACCATCTGGACCGGCCAAAGAGACACTCATGCCACCAGATCTGCTTCTTGTAACTCCATTCTCAGTTGGCATAAAGGAACCAGACAAGGAAAGAATTTCAAACCGTCCCTGTAAAAACAAAAGAGTAAGTTTGAGCATATTTAATCAATTCACTTTGGTCATAGCTCAAACAAAATTTCAAGATACTTGCAAAATCAGTTTGATATTAATGAATAAATCACAAGGGATGAGATATCTTTGTTGAGGAAATTACTGATTTAATCAAAAGCAATGTAAGTTTTATCCTGAGACCGGATAATTAATACCCATAACAAGTATGACATGCAAAGAGACATTAGTTTTCAAAAAGAAAAAAGAAAAAGAGGTGGTCCAAAGTGGTTTTTGAGATGTGAGCAGCATGGAAACTAAAACTAATTGTGGGTTTGGTTATAAGTTAGCATGTCTAGGTGGGTTGAATAAAGTGATCTGGGACAGGTGGATACAAAAACAAATACTGTACAAGGGGGATTCATCCACGGTCTTCAACTAACATGATGCCAACCACTACATTCATAGTGTAGAGTTATAGAGGTAAAAGCAACAACAAAAGTCCTATCCCACCAGGAGAGATTAGTTACATGAATCACATGACACCATTTCGTTCAGTTAAAGACAAACTCTTCAGAGATATTATTTTATCCTGTTAAGGTAACTAACAAATAAATTTACCAAGAAATCATGAATATATAAAAACATAACAGCCTCTCAAATCTAGAATTCGTAGTTAAGAAGCAAGAACAATTACAAATTACAATAGCCTTTGTACATATGTAACTTTAAAATTAGTTAAAAAGAATATCATAGCTGAAATACAAGGGAAATTTATACACTACAAGAAAATATCTAAATAATGACCAATTTTAGTGACAAAAAATAATTAGTCCCTATAGTAGCCTATTTAGATACCAATTTATAAACTAAAAATTATTAAAGACAAACTTAGAGATCAGTTATGTTAGCAGCCAAAACTTTTGGCAACTAATGTTAGTGATCAATTTAGAGACTAATTTACCATAATGACCAATTCACTATAGTGACCAATTCACTATAGTGACCAATTCACTATAGTGACCAATTCAGAAGTTATTTTAGTCACCAATAATTTTTAGTTTCTAAATTGGTATCTATATAATTACCAATTATTTTTTGTCACTAAAATTGGTCATTATTTAGATATTTTCTTGTAGTGATAATTTTCCTAGAATTGGAAGTTGAAATGTTTATTTCCCATGCTTCTGTTATGCTTTAACAAGTAATATGCCCACAAAACAATGTTCTCAGGAATGCTTTTAGCTAAGTTTACCATAAAATTGTTCTAATGCGGGAAGAGTGACTGTAAATTTCCCGAAATTAAATAAAAAATATTACGATAAAAAAACCATGTTACTCTTATTTAATAATTTAAGTAGCGAATGACTAAAATTGCTGGTATTACTCTTTAACTTCTGGGAAGCTTGAATAAGTCTTTGTAAAGATGCTTAAGGCTATCCAAACAGATTTTAGTCATTCTTAGGAATTATGATTCACAAGATTCATGATTGCCAAACCTGTAAAAACTTCTCTTGTAGCACCTCATAAGTATAATGCATTAATAACATCAGTTTCAGATAATTTTGCACGAGAAGCTTAATCAAATGATTTTTGGAATCACTTTTTCTGGGAAGCTTGTATTGGTAAAAATACTTACGTCTAACCAAACAGATTTTAGTCATTTAGGATTCATGATTCACAAAATTCATGATTGACAAACATGGAAAACTTCTCTTGTACAAAACACTTCATAAGACTAGTGCAACTAATAACATCAGCTTCGGATAAGTTTTCATGAGAAGCTTAATCAAATAATAAAGGTTATCCTGGTCCACTAGCCAAAATCAAATATAATGAAAATGTTTAACCAGCAAACCCTGATTATTTAATCAATTTCTGTTAAAAAATTAAAAAACTGCATTTGATGCATCCATTTGCACTTCCATCCAACTGCACAATTCTTTGTAAAGTAGAAAAGGCATTTAAAAAAAATAGCGTGTGATATCTAATACCAATATATTACAATGCCATATAAACAGAGCTGCATACATAACACAGGCACCAGTAACTAGTAATAAGTACTATGAAGTTTATTTCTAGTAGATAAACAAATATCTTAACTTATTTTGTTCTGACGAAGACATAAGATATAGCTCACCTCATATGTTAAAGTACCTCCACAAGAAGATGGTTGACGAAGTGTAACATTTGAAATTGTCCCAGTTGCAGAGAGAATGCATATAGCACGTGATCCTTGTTGTGAGAAGGACATGATTTTCATAGTGACATCCTGGTATAAGACCATAACAAAATGACAAAAACAAGTACACAGCACAAAAAATGAAATTAAAACATGTAGTCGGTACTTTTCATCCATAGTAATGAATACACAATCATACATATGATCCACACAACTTAGTCATGTCACTGTTGCAGATTTAAAAAAAAAAAATTATTATGATAACATTGTAATGAAGTTAACATGCTTCCAATTCAATTCGTAATTCATGGATAAATTGTACATTACAAACTTGTAATTTAGAGATCACTAGAAATAACTTGTTTCATTTATTTTTACACAACTTCCAATCAAATGAAGCTCACCACCACTTGGCAAGTAGGGGCACTGTTCATTTAAAATGTCTAGCTAACTCTCAGACAGAAAATTAGCATTTAAATCAAATAATCTAATTGATATCCTAGTTCCTTACAATCAGTACTGAGCAGAAAAATTATCACAAGAAATGTTATTGGATATTAAACGTAAAGGACAAAATAAAAACACTATTAAGGGAATGAGCAATGAAAACATATACAGCATAGAAACAGATATGGAGTTTGGATAATATACATAGAGAAAAGAACATATTACGTTGTCTCCCTTCTCATGAAAAAATTGTTTTCATGAAAAAATAAATGAAGTGTAACCAAGATAAATGGACTTTGCATTCACAATGTATATATGGCATTCAAACACAAATTGACTGGATTTGAACTATTTTAATAAAGTTCAGCATGTAGAAGAATACCTCGCCAGAATTTACTGTGAGAACATGTGGTGTGAAATTGGCACCAACGGAGTATGATATTCCATCACCTATAAATGCATACATGGGAAGATAAATACAAGGAGAGAGACACAAAATGAAAGAAAATGCAATAATAAATTCGTCATATAAAGTAATTGATTATATCAAAGAAATAAGTTTCAAAATAACAAGATAAATTTGGGAGAATAAATCATGTTTATACTCTTTAGCCAGAAATAGAAGATGCATTCAACAAGCCACATATGTCTTATCTTTACCTCTTTGTCTATTAAATGGACAGAATAGTGAATCGCACACATCAAAATATACACGATAGAGACTTAGGCTATTTAATGTACCCTATTATAACACTAATTTCAGATTCATCATTACCCTTAATCTACTCTGTGCCACCAGTTACGTCTATAAACATCCGTCTTTCTATGTGTTGTTTATTAAATTCTAACCTCTGCTAACTATACCATAATATAGTGGATACCAGAAGCCACACCTATCCAGTACCCACACAAGATACCCCATAACTTGGTCCCAACCCCGGAATTATGCTTAAACTATCAAGTCCATTATGTCATATTCTAGACCTCCTACAGAACCATCAAATGCAAAGACAGCCAAACCTATGAACCCGGTACCAATCTTGTTCAGGGCAATTATGAATGTGGAATTAGATTCAGGATAAACGATGAAACATCGGGAAAGATATGGAAGTCATGTTGAACACCAAGTACACACAGCACAAGTATGCCTAATATCTTGAAAAACACATTTCAGAGCTCACATATCTCCTTGTCAAGATGTGGAACTATATATAGCACTTAGCGGTATGTTCGGGTGTTACCTGAGAAAGGAAAAATAGAATAAAATACAAAAAATAAGAGAAAGAGGGATTATGTAATGATTTATTTCTTTACCTTTGATTCAATGTTTAAAATCACCCAAAATTGGAAGAACATTTTATTGTGCAAAAAAAAATGAATGAAGGAAAATTAATAATGATCTAACGATGATCCCATATGTGCTAACTCTCTTTTATAAAAACGTCAACACATGGGAAAGTCCACCCAATAACCTTCAATAATGCTCCGTCCAAATTTAGGAGACCACAGATCTCCTGCATGAACTTTGAAAATCTCTTCATTGCATTTTAATGTTATATAAATTATCACTATCAGTCTCTGAAGCCACTCTCGCATCCCTTAATTAATAAGCTCCACTTTTCAAAAATATTCCCGACAATATTGCAATTACGAAATCCAGTTTCCAATCATGCCAATATTCAACAAGGAAGTTTTACATGCTGCAAGAAATAATTATTAGAGTAGACTTTAGACCAATTCAAGCGTGGCACATCAGCTATCAAACACTGTTGGACTCAACCTACCAAATAAGCTGGTCCCTTCATTTACTCTAACCGTTTTTCCATGGTCAGAAAATTCAATCCTCCTCCCCTCACAAAGAAAAATAAAGAGTACCATATGCTACCCTGAAACAAAAACCAACCTGACTTGTCAACCACAAAATATCCCCATCCACCTCACAATTTGTATTCAGATCTGAAAAGGAATCAGAGCTTTGGGTCCACTCGCACCTCCCACACCACCCCCTATATAACCTCTCACAAAAGCAAAAAACCAAGTCCAAAAAGTTCACTGCACGCTAAAACACAAGATCAAAGTAAATACCTAACTGGTCCAAATGATTTACCCCAAAATCAAATCAGTTGGAACTCCCAAAAAAAAACATTATGATGCTCTTCCATTAAAGAGCTAAATGACAAGGGCCAACAGGTTAGAAGGATTCACTCGTTTATTATGACTCTGATACTCTTGTATCTCAAAAAACTGCAAATGAAACAGTAAAAAACTAAAAATAAAACCTAGGCGAAAAGATTAAAAACATCAGCGGTGACTAAAATTAAAAGACTACAATTCAAAGTCTTCAATTGAAAAGATCGAAGAACTATATAATACCTTGAACAGGGCTTTCAACCTCAAACTTGAACGATGACTTTTTGATAGATTCAACAGGCCTTCCTCTACCCCTCTTCCAAGCGGAGAACTCGCCGGTCAACGGAATCGACGATGAAATCGGCATCGGCGAAAGCGCCGTCACCGCCCCCACAGCCACCTTCCCGTCCGGCCCATACTTCCTCGGTCTCCCTCTCTTCTTTTTACCCTCCGTCGACGGCGCAGGCACGATGGCCCTTGAAAAGTCCAAGTTGTTCTCAATTATTCTAGGAGCAACATGGAAGCTCTCGGGGGCTTCATCACCCACCACAACACCAAAACTCTCTCTTCCCTCCATTTTTATGCAAATCAGAGAAAAACCAAGACACCTAAAAACCTTAAAACTTTACTTAAACCCTGACCATTGAAGATTCAAACTCTTCCACGCCCAATCAGCCAAAAAATCACAAAAAAAAAAATGAAATTCTCAAAGGGGGTAAATGCTAACTTATTTAAGAGAAATCAGATTTGGGTAACGGGAAATTTACAATCTCACAGAAAACTTTAAGGCACAAAAAAATTGCTGTATGAAATGGCGAAAACAATCCCAGAAACGAAATTGGAGCAGTTTGAGCTTGGCCTCCGAGAAAATCGCAGTGCTGTAAGCTCAAATCTGCACCATTGCGTAGAACACAGAAAGCTTGGAAATGAACAGAAAATATTCAGAAAAAAAAATCTAGAATTACAGAGAAAAATACAAACTCCGGTTCATAAATTCTCCGGAGTGGTATGTGAATTTAGGGTTTTCCAGGAAAAGGTGGAGTAAATAAATAAAGTTGATAAAAAAACTGGAAAATTAAATAAATGTTAAAATAAAGTAATTAAATAATGGGAATTTAATTATGAATTAATATTTTAATTATAAAATTGAAAGTATAAAATTTGGTTAAGAAATTGGTTCAAGTCCGTCTTGGAAATTTAATAAAGGTGATTTAATAAATGACTGTGAATGCAGATACTTAATTTGAATGCATTAAAAAAATACGTAACATTTTTGAAAAGGAAAGAAAATGGCTTTTTTTATATAAAACCGGCATTTATTTATTTAAAGGTTTTCTTAAAAAATAAATATTCAAAGCTGTAAAGCTAAGATAGGAGCCATTACATTTTCCCAACTACTGACAAGTTCTTTGTCTTTTCAGTTAAATTAACTTAAAGTTGACCAAGAAACTCAAATTCATGTTGAAATTTGAAATGCCCTTTTGATTTGGTGAATCTACTGGAAATGCCACTGTAATGAACACAAGGCATGCTCTCTGCATCTTCTTTTCTCCGCTTTCTCCTCCCCATTCACAGCTTCTTCTGTTGACCAAGCCAGTGTTTCCTTGTTTCCCCACTTTTTCCCTCTTTCTTACCAAACATAAAACCAAAAGACAGACACACTATGATGTTTGTTAATGTTTGGCAGAAAATTTTTGTTGAGATTTATTATGATGCTGAAAATCTGCTAGCTTTGAATTCTGGGTAGGTACTGTAACTAATGAGTGATGCAATGGTACCACTGTTCTGATATGATGGACCCGTTACAGTACGTCAGGTCTTTCAACCTCTGCTACCTACTGTACTCCTAAATTACCCAGCTTTTTAGCTATTGTATTGGTACCACTCTCTCACCATTTCTGTGGAACCCACTTCTTTAGTTTCCATTTCTCTCTCTCTCACCCTTCATTCATACAAATCAAAATTCATTTTTAACCTAATAAATCTCACATCTTTCTCCCTGTTATTGGATATTTCAAACACCCTTACCTTTTTATAAAACTTCCAGGTCTGTAGCACCACTTATTAACGTTTTTCTCTAAATTAAATTTTAGATTAATTTATTTCTCCTAAAAAATTAAAATATCTTTTAATTCTAATTAACTTTTAAGTCTTTTATAAGTTTAACTATTTTTAAATTTATTAAATAATTTATTTCTATTAAAAATATTCCAATTAATGTTTAAAATTTGTTTTTTATTTCAATATTTTATGGTTTGATTTTCTCTTTTTCTTATTCTCAACTCACCTTACAATTTATTTTTTTCTCCTTTTTAATCTTATTTTCAATTTTTTATTATCAATTAACTATTTCCCAAACAAAGGTTTCAAAGAAATTTATTACACAAGTATTATTATTATTATTGCTCGTGTTGAAAATTAGACTCACCTAAAACTTATTTCTGTTCTCCAATCACTTATTGGGGGCATTGTCAAACAGAGTAGAAATCGGCTTTTTAGGAATTATGTTTTGCCCTGCTTTTCTATCTTTTTTAGCATTTTAGAAAAAATTTAAAAAATATATTAAATAACAAATATAGTTTTTCATCTAAACTAATTTATGTGAGTCCGGTCGTGTTATGAGGGAGACAAATGTGTCAAAATAAAGAGACCAAATATTGTATGAGCATATAAATAGAAAATTTAAATAAAGATAGTCTCATTATTTTCAAACTCTGTATCTCTGTAAAACAGAATCATCTACCTTTCATCTCCCTTCTCTCTACAAATTCTCACTTTTTCTTCATCTGATCATCAATCAGGCTGTGGCTGAGCTTTCATGGTGTCAAGAGTTTTCCTTTGCACCGATTAAGTGTTGTTTTGAGCTGGTAAGTTCAATTCTTTTGTCTTTTTGAAAAATTATGCATTTCCTGTCACATGCTAGCATTGTGCGGTCTTGTATGTGTTCATGAGCCTTTCATTCTGATTCTATTTATGTTTCTGGTTCGGTAGTTGGTTTCCTTTCACCGATCCAAAGTCTGTAGACTGTCTTAGTATCACTTGCGGGTTAGCAAACTGTGAAGAAGTTAAAGTTGTCAAGTTGCTTTGAGGTAAGGGAAGCTAGTTAATTTAATTGTTTGGATTTTGATGTATGAATATGTTGTTCATGATTCTGCATGTGTGTGAAATTGAATTATTTGATGTTCGGTGATCTTGGTGTGGACTGTTATATGCTATGTTCGTAAGGTTTGAGATTCTGCATAATTTTGGTTCAATGGCCGAGTGAATTGTGAGGATGTGTGATGGTGAAATTTGGGAAAAATATTTTATTTTGGTAAACCTAGCTGGTTCATAAATCTGCAGAAGTATCTGCAAAATTAGGTAGAAACTGAGTGTTCGTTATTGACCGCTCGTTCATGTTTATTACTCGGTCGTTAAGTGGGTTCGATCTCTTTAGTCTTACCCGTGCATGACCGGTCAGTCTTAGGTGAGTAGTCAGTCTCCTAGTCGTAATCAATTTTATATTAGCGATCGTTCTTAGTAGGTGGTGAGATCTCTTAGTAACGATCGGTCTTGTACTAGCAGTTATGCTAGTGTTAGCGCTCGGTCGTGTACTAGCCGTTATGCTAGTGATAGCGTTCGGTCTTGTACTAGCGCTCGTTCTTATTAGTTCGGTCCTTTACTAGTGCTCGTTCTTAGTAGTGCTCGGTCTTGTACTAGCGCTCGTTCTTAGTAGTGTTCGGTCTTGTACTAGCGCTCGTTCTTGTACTAGCGCTCGTTCTTAATAGTGCTCGGTCTTGTACTAGCGCTTATTCTTGGTAGTGTTCGATCTTGTACTAGCGCTCGTTCGGTACAGTGCTCGGTTTTGTACTAGCACTCGTTCTTGTTAACGCTCGGTCTTATACTAGCAGTATGCTAGTATTAGCGCTCGATATTGTACTAGCATTTATGATAGTGTTAGCGATCGATATTATTGGGTTGTGTTGTCTCTTATTAACGCTCGTTTTTATACTAGTGTTCAATATCGTACTTGTATTAAGCCATTAGTGTTCGGTTAAGATAATAGTATTCGGCATAAGCCAATAGAGTGCGGCCTAAGCTAATAGTGTTCGGCCTATTTCAATAGTGTTCGGCCTAAGCCAATAGTGTTCGGCCTAAGTCAATGGCGTTCGGTCTAAGCCAATAGTGTTCGTTCTAAATCATAAGTGTTCAGTATAAGTTCATGTGTTCGACTCCTACTTGAGTCTTACTCTTTAAATGACTGTTCGGTCATGTTCGTATGTAGGGAGAGTTTTTCCCGTTCGGTCTTGTTCATAAGTTATATTGATCTTTTACGTTCGGTCGTGCTCAAGGGTGGTGGTTGTTTTACTATTCGGTTTGATTTGACTTAAATGTGTTATGGATAAGGAAGTATGTTGGTATTGAAGTATGGTATGATATGTGGATAAGAAAGAGAATTGCAAGGAGGAATATCTCATGGATGGTTATGGAATTGTAAAGTATGAATGCAGTTATTGCTAAGTTGGTGTTTATCCTGATATTTTGTTATTACTCATTCTCACGTAAAGAGGAGTAACTCATGTGTGAGAATGGCAGGAGGTCCTAGTCCGTAAGTGTAACTTGGACGAGGTATAACGAACTAATCCCGATGGCAGCTGTTGAGGGCATCCCAGCTACTACACCATCCGGGTGCAAAAACGTCGTAGCTATACAATTCATACAATCCGGATAGTCAGAGTAAAAGTGATCGGTTATAACATGATTGTATGGTTTATATATATGTATGATTGTATTATATGTGTGTCTGAATTGCATGTTCACATGGTTAATTAAATTACACTAGCTTACCCTTATTTCCTGTCTTGTCATGTTGTTCGTTCGGTCGTCTTTGTCACTGTATTGATCACCCTATGGGTATGAGCAGAAGGTGATGAGGGTTCTCTGGAGCAGGCGCTAGCAGGAGAGGATGATTTTCGTTGGAGTAAGACCGTCGGTCTTGTGCTTATTTTTGTATTAGTGTAGGACCGTTCGGTGGGTTCTTATGGTTTGTTTTTGTATACGGTTTCTTAAAGTTTTTAATTTATGGTTATTTTAAGATAACTGTACTGTTAAAATACTTTAACAACTCATGGATAACTGGTCTACTATATTATTATACGTGATTGATCTATAATATAGTTTATAATAATTTATTTTCATCATAAATATAACTTATTTTAAAAAATTATAATTAATTTTATAACACTCCGGATCAGTAGAAGTAATCTATTAATTAAAACATTTTTTATGATTGGTATTAAGCAAAAATAACTATATAAATATCTCTCTTTTACTTACATAACAAAGTTTTTCAAAATATAATTCTTAATCAAAATAATGGAGAATTATCTACGATAAAAAAAAAATAGATAAGCTATTCCATTGTCTACACCACTATAAGACTAACTGATTATTCAATCTCTCATATAGTGTTTTTTATTTTTGTGAAAAATGTGTGATTACACTGAATAAAAACAAAATCACAAAAGATAAATTAGTATATTTAAAAATAAATAAACTTATATATAGCTCAATAATTAATAAAAACAACAATCAATTTCAAACAATTCATTCACTGCAAGCAATTATTTATACAAATTCATTTATAAAATTTGCATCATTCATAAGAATTCTAATAGATTTTGTCATATATTACTCCGGCTTTATTCGAAATAATAGATTTTGACATATATTACTCCGACTTTATTCGAAATTATAAAAGAGTTAGTTCATTATAACATGTTAGCAGTAGATCTTGGTCGATGAATTTAGAAGAGTCAAAATAATACATTCAAAATCTATCTATATATATTATTGTCACCAATACAATAGATATTAATTCATAATTTAATATAATTGAAACTACAAAAGATATTACACATATCTATCATAATGTCTTTCCTTCTTTCGTATTATTCAATTGATCAATATTGAATCAAAAATAAAATTTTCAGTTATTTCTTTTTCAATTTAAATAATCATATTATTGACAATAAATTCATCTTCA